AACTAATGTATTAATTCTAGCCAGAAAACCGAAGAAGAAACTGATTTTAGAGATCGGAAATTTTGAAAAATAGATTTCAATTTTGATGATAGTTGAGAGTGGAGTTACAAGAGTGAAAAGGGTAGCAAAGATTGTGGGTTATGCAAATAAAGGATTATACAATAAAGTTTTAAAGGTTTAGGATTGTAGGTTGTGCAAATAAAAGGTTTTGGTGTAATTTGTGAAAAAATAAAAAAATTGAGATCACAACTGCAGTTATTCCTCTTTAATTTTGGCAATTTTTAAAGTTTTTAACGGTCAAACTAATTGAATTGGACAATATAAGGTTTTTCGCACAAAAAAAGGTTGTATTTTGCACAAAAGATTTCAAAAATGAGGTTTTTATGCAATTTCCAATAGATATGGGGTATATTGCAAATGAAAATGCTTGAGGCATTTCAGCTATTAATCCGATGCATAATTATAGCAAGGAGAATATATATGTAAATGGATTGAATACATAATGATATTTTTTTTGCCCATGCGATCGTAGTAGACAACACAATGCGATTGCATAGGGAATTTTTGTCGTGCACTACTTAGATTTTTTTTTTTTTTTGTTCGCGCTTTAATTTTTTTACTTTGTAAGTGTCACGTGGGATTTTTCATCCACCACATTGATTTTTGTCCATGTGGACAGATAAAAATTATGGGTGATGAATGTGTAACTTTGTTTAAATTTAGGTGAGTAAATGATAACATTTTAAGTTTTAGTGAACAAGTAATACTTTATAACAAATTTCGATGAATAACGCGTAACCTTTTAAATTTTGTGAACTAGTTGTAACATATAACAAAATCCAATTAGCAACAAATAACTTTTAAAATTTTAGTGAATAAGTAGTAACTTAAACCAAAGTTAGCGATTATCGATTAAGTAGTAACAAATTAGTTTCATAAAAAACACATGATTAACTTTGGTTGGCCAAACAATTTTTTTTCGAGTCAAATCGAAAATCCACAGTAGTGACTGTGTAGTGTTTAACCCCTAAACCCTTCTCCAACTTTGCTTGCCGTCGACCGCCCGCCACTTTCACAAGCAAGTTCTCAATATACACAGTTTCAGTGCGGAGGACCCACCACCGTCTCTTTCAGCGGAGAATCTGTAAATTCTTGAAGAATTATCCTCAATATACGTAGTGTCAATGCGGTGGACCCACCACCGTCTCTTTCAACACGCAGATTTGTGTTTCTAAGAACGGTTGAGTTCATCCACACTTTCTCTTCTACTTCTGTGATATCATTTATGTATTGAACCATGTTGGGTTTACTCTGTAAAACAGCATTCCCATTCCGTGGGCATCTGGGTGATTCTTGCTTGTACAAATCCTCTCTGGGTATTTTTCTTCATAATATATCGTCTTCTTCTGTGATTAAACCGGAAAAGGTTGAGATTCCGTCCTATTCTGGAAAATTATGAATTCAGTGATACCCAGATTTCTATACTTGCCAAGGTACTCCCAAGTATTTTCTCATGCAATCTCCAGAACAATATTTTGCCTAAACTCAAATTCTTTCTCTCCATTGGACTCTCGAGCTCTGACCTGCCAAAAGTTATTATGGTCAATCCTGCATTGTTGGTAGGAAGCATTGAAAAAATGTTTATCCCCTGTTATAATTATCTCAAGACTAGTGGATTCGGATCAAGATATTGTACGGACCATAAAGCGCAGTCCTAGAATTTTTTCTTGCAATTTGAATATAATGATGTCCAATGTAGAGCTATTGGCACAAGCTCGGGTACCACAGTGCTCTATCTCATACATGTTAACTCACTACCCTCATTCACTGCAAATGAAATGTGATAAGTTTAAGAGCAGTGTGGACAAAGCAATTAAAATGGGATTTGACTGCTCGAGGATGCAGTTTATTCGGGCAACTTACGTGTTGTGTGAAATGAGTGAGCAGGCGTGGGAGAACAGAATCAAGGTTTATAGGAGGTTTGGTCTATCAGATACTGAGATCCTATTGGCATTTAGATCACATCCTTTCTTTATGAAGTTGTCCGAGGAAAAAATTAGGAGGGGAATGGAGTTTTATGTAAAGGAGATGAGCTGGTCTCCAGCCAATGTTTCCCGATCCCCAATTATCCTCTTTTACAACATGGAGAGGAGGATCATACCAAGGTGTCGTGTGATTAAGATGTTGATGGAGAAAGGTTTGGTGAAGAAATATTCTCTTGCAAACTTTTTGTCATTTACTGATCAGCGATTCATGAAAACATTTGTGCATAAGTATAATAAAGATTTGCCTGATATTATGGATGTATATCGTGCTGCACAGGTCTTGTAGAACCATGCTACTTGATGCATATTTGAATTATAAGCAATGCAAATCATGATGCATCCAATTTTTATGTATAACTAGTTTTTCAGTCAGTGGCAGTTGTGAAGCAACATTCTATGGCCTGAGTTGTTTCAAAGAAGTGGTATAATTGTTATGATTAGCTTTTGTGGAGACTTTTGTTGTTTGGTAACCAATTCTCCTGACCCAGTCACTAGACACACTTTTGGAGGAGGCACCCTTTCTCTTGAAGTTACACGGGCTTGAGAGGCGGTAGTTTACCATATGGCGTATGTCGTCATTCATAGAATCGCCAACTTTTTCCTATTTCATTATGATACTTCTTCATCGGGGATCTTCACTTTCACTGACTAGACTATCTATGAAATGCTCACGGCAATATCTCAGTCCAAGTTGGTACTTGGTGAGGCTTTGTCCTCATTTTATTGCTCTTTGAACCACTAAGTTTGTTCCTTTTTGGCTTTTTCCAGTGGTTAGTTTTTGACTTTGTTTGAACCTTGATGAAATGTATTTACAGCTCCCTTTACCAGTTTGTCACTAAGTGCGTGTAGCCAATGTGTATGTTTCCTCCAGTGATAATTTTTTAATTGAAATCCTTTCATTATATCCAAGTGACTTCAAGTTTGTATTTTGTAGATGCTTAATATCTACTTTCAATGTTCTCTCAACTTCACATGATGTACTGCTCTGTAGAAATTTGGATATTTTAAGAGTATATTGTTGTTTATGGAACAGTTAGGACAAACAAGCATACTCGGTTGTTACTTGTGTATTATTTCTATTAGGAATCCTTTCAGTATCTGTTTTATAGTTTTCTTCAGGCTATGAGGCCCCTCTAAATTCAAATTGCATTTGCCTTTTATTTTGATCAATAAAAGATTAGCTTTTTACGTTTATCCAATTCCCAAGGATGCCGTGAGGTCAACTCTGCCTCTCGATAGCTACTTCCACAAGATGTCATTTAATTTTAGTACGATCACAAGGACCGATTGATGAAAGGTGTAGCTGTTGCAGACAAAATAAATAAAGGTGTCTCGTTTCTAAATGCTTAAGCTTCTAGGTAAATGTGGTGGTTCAACAATGGCACTGGCGGGTAACCTGCTTAATGTTCATTGAGGTTGGTCTTTTGCATCAGAGGTGGTGGGTGCATAGGATATTTGCATTCTACCTCTCTTCCACTGTGAGATTCAGCCCAACTTAAAATGAAGGTCAAAAATTAATTTCTACTACTTATTTTATGAGATTCGCAACTTTTCAACCACACATTTCATCAAATATTATTAAAATTTTATAAAAATTTGATTTTAATCCCCACCAAACAAGGGCTCAATATTTCATACAGTGATAATATGCATATTGAGTTCACTTTCAAGTGAACCCAACATGCCTAATAAAGCTGGTCTCACCTTTATCCGAGATTTGAACTATGAGATCACTTGATATCAGTATTATACGATATTTTATGTATAATGTGAGCTATTTAATGCTGTCAGTATTTAACAGAATCTTTGATGAGTTGGCCAAAGGTTGAGAAAGATTCACGGTCTTGAATGGATTATAGCATATTTGTTTAGATCAATAGATGTCTCATGCGCCTAAATTTTTTAGAAAATCTCGAACTCTTCTCGCTCTCAGTTGATGGCTTCAGTGCTTCATTATTTGAGGGGGGGGGGGGGGGGGGGNTGGGGGGGGGGGGGGGGGGGGGGGGGGGGGGGTGGTGAGCTTCGATTTTATAATCCTCTTTTTTGCACTCGGACGGAGTCACGGGAGGTGAGCAGTAGTAGTACCAAAGAGAAGTTCATTCAACACCCTTTTCCTCGTTATTTGCTTTCTATGTGGAATTCACGTCTTAAGTAGAATGAGACAACAAAGAACTATGAGACAATAAAGAACTAACATCCGGATTCCTAAATTGTTTTGCTTTTTTCTATTTTGCATCTTTGATATTATATTTAGGATTCTTCTTGTACATGACATGTTCTGCTTGTTAGCATTTTCAGCATGGCGCTTGCTTGGATTTCATTCTTGCATAAGTACTCCCAAGGTAATGGTCCAAGGGATATTTGAGTTGCTGTTTTGCTTCCTCAACCATTTTAACTCCTGTCATATGGTAGATCGTATATTTCAACGTTAATTTCTTGCATCATTAGAGGCTGCCATTGTTCCAGATTGCATAGGAATTATATTACGTAATCATCAAGGTCTTACGGCGAAAGCTGATTGAACATGAGTATTAGTATGGGTCACCGTTTTATGGAAATAAATCAACAAGAATTACAGCCTGAAACAAAGATAAAATCTGGCTGGAAGCTCTGGACAGTTCGAAGAGGAATTATGCTAAATGTACACTTTGGTGTACATCTTCAATGGCAATCCTCCTATATGATGAGAATTTATGCAATGATATGATTTGTGTTTTCAAAATCAATCGTGTGAATCAGCAACATGGTAGAGTGTACATTAAAGTGTACATGTAACATGTTTGTTCGAAGAGAATAAATTTAGCAATGACAATCTTGTACCTAAGCCTGTTAGATAGAGCAAGCCCTTCGCAAAGTGCAATGGCTTCGACTTCTATTGATAATCCGCCTAAGAATCTTAGAGAGAAACGCCACACAAGACCTCAACATTGTAAGGACACACAAAAAAAAAATTGTTATACGTGTGTATGTACGTATAACTATATATTTAAAATATTTTATCAATTTTAAAATTTTATTATTATGCTAAGTTAAAGGGCACGATATTTATGAAAAAAAATATTTTTTTGTAATTTTAGACTATCTTGCTTTCGGGAAAAATATTTTAAACTATCAATTTTATAGGTCCAATCCTAAATACCAAATAAGCTTAATTAACCAATCACTAACCCTACAAGACAATAAGCAACCCAAAATTAAAATGATTAAAGTGAATAATGAAAAGCTAACTCTAGATCCCTTTTCGTCATTAACCTCTCTTCCACCCTTTAACGCACGAAGAAATAGATCATTTTTGTCCACTTGTTGCATTTCAAGGGTTACACATTATAATTGTTGTTTTTGATTTTCAAGGTTTGCTTATATGAAATTATATGAAGAGGTAAGCAGTTGCGGACCCAGCACCCTGCGGCCGCGCGTACTGAATCCGTCGAAACAATTTTTTTTTTTTTTACAATAGATAAACGTTTCAAATTATATACCTGGTAAGTTCTTTTATTTTCATAAATTTCTTGTAGCTCAGCTAGCTACAACTTGTATATTCACATGAGAGGTTCTAGTTTCGAATTCTTTTCCCAACCTTTTTATTATGAAATATTTTTAATTATACAATTTTTGCCAAAATTAAATGGAATAAGAGAGGGGAGTCAAATCCCTAACCTCACGGTAAGATATGGGACGCCCGACTATTGTAGCATTCGTGGAATTTGATATTAAATTTACCAAAATAATATATGTTACATAAAGATGTTTTAATGCAATTGTAAGAATTTGAACTAGTGCTCTTCCTTTAAATTATATAAAATTTGGCCACAATATCATTTGATGAATATTGTTAACTTTTACAACAAAATTATATATGCTTAGTTTGAACAAAATAATTGTTATATTTAAATTTGAGACTTTGTTTGATTTCTCTTTTTTTCAAAATATATTTTTCTCTCTTCTTTCAACCGCACATTTTCAATAAAATAATATTACATGCAAATTCAAAACTTTTCCTTATTTTTAATCATACATTCTCCATCAAATCACTATTTCAGAATGCATTTTTTGCAAAAAAAAAAAAGCATCAAACGGGACTCTTAATATTTTATTGCTGAAAACGATCGACGATCCACGATCACCCGTGCTGACTTGAAATCGTGAGTCCGTCGCTGGAGGTAAGTGGCTTCAATAGTTATTTGTTGATGACATGTCAATTCTAATGAAGTTTAAGAGTTGCTTTTGAACTTTATTGATAATTTTCTTTTCACAACATGTAAAAAATGTGTAATGAAATTGAGGTTGAAGACATTGAAGATGTACTATATGTATATATAAAGGTTGAAATCCTTTTATTGTATGCACTGTGCATTGTGCAACTGTGGATTGTATGCAATTTGCTTGTAGAGAGAACTCTTGTATGTGTATGGTGTTATGTTGAGCATTCGATAATCTTTAGCTATTGTAGGCAATTGTATATATGCTGGATTGCAGGATTGGAGAGTCAATTTATAAATTCTTGTATAAGACAGTTTACTCTTTTCACGTCTCATGTTCCGAAATTTATTATTATTTATTCTAAGTCGTTTAACATTATCTGGCCATGAGTGATTTTAAAATATTTTTTTTTGTTATTTATAAATTTGAAAACTATAACTTAAAAATATGCCTTCTATGTGGTTTTGATCATTTTGGGCAATAATGGAGAGTGGATCAAAGAACATTGACCCATGCGAGGGACAAATTAATATGTCATTGTATCGTATCAACAAGTTTAAAAAAATTTCACATATAAACGATATTATTATTATTATTATTATTTTTTTCTATCATCTTAATTCTATTTTCTTCTATATAATTGTGGTTCATAAATCATTGAATCAATTTCTTGCTGACCATTAAATTAAAGTTGAGTGATTTGTGGAAAGTATTTTGAAGTTCGACGAGTAACTCGTGATCACATTTAGAATTGGGTGGGTGTTAAAATGCAATGCCTTCAAGTTGTGTGATCAATGAGAAATATTCTGAAATTCAATGAACAACTCGTGACCACATCCAAAGTTGAGCAAGTGTTTTAACTCGTGAGTGATGGCGCGTAACACCTAAAGTTGGTGATCAATGAAGCATTATAAAGTTAGATGAGGAACTCGTAATCACACCCAAAATTGGGCGAGTATTGCAGTTAAAGCATCTTCAAGAAATTTTTTAGTTGTCTCATTTTTATTTTTGTAAAATTTTTAATAATTTTTCACAATGTTTCACAATTTTCTATGAAAAGGTAAAGACAAGCCTCCGTTTGACATCATTATTTCATAATTCTTTAATTTTTATCCTCATTTTCAACCACATATTTACATATTAAAATATTTTACAAGTAAACTCAAAATATTTTCCTACCTTTTAACCATATATTCTCTAAAGAAATTATTCAAAAATCAATTTTCTCAAAATAATACCGTCAAATGGGGGCTAAAGATTGTTGTTTGACATTTGTACTCTTTATTTTTTAAAATTCTTTAAAATACTCTTTAAATTGAAAATTATACTTTTTAAAATAAAGATAACATTTAGGACTGGCAAAATTCAACTCAAATCGCTCAACCCGATCAATCTAACTCGAAAACGTTTTCGAGTCAAACTGAAAAATCCTCCAAGAGACAGGATCCAACTTGCCCGTCGACCGGCGCCGCCTCGTGGCATCCCGCCGTTTTCACCAGCAATTCGTCAATATATGCAGTTGCAGTGCGGAGAACGACAAAATCACGCGTCTCCTTCATTGAAAAATCTGTAAATTCTTGAAAACTGTTTACATAGAGCGCGTTGCAAAGCAGATTTGTACTTAGAAGAACGGATGAGTTCGTCCACGGTCCACAGTCTAATCTTCATCATCTGTGATAGCATTTTAGTAAGGAACGATGTTTAGTTTACCTAATAAAACAGTATTCCCATTCTGTAGGAATCTGGGTGATACATGCTTGTACAGATCCTCAGTGGGTAATTTTCTTCGTACTTTATCTGCTTCTTCTGTGATTAAACCAGAGAAAGTTGAAAAATTTCGAACCCTTTTTAAAAATTATGGATTTAGCGATACCCAGATTTCCAAACTTGCTGCCAAGAGAAAAAATATTTTCGCATACAATCTCCAGAACACTGTTTTGCCTAAACTCAAATTCTTTCTCTCCATAGGAGTCCCGAGCTCTGACCTGCCAAAAATTATTGCGGGTAGTCCTGCATTGTTGGCAGGAAGCATTGAAAAACAGTTTATCCCTTGTTATAATTTTCTCAGGACTTTAGTGGGTTCTGATGAAGATATTGTTCGGACCTTAAAGCGCAGTCCTAGAATTTTAACTTGCAATTTGAAAGTAATGGTAACCAATGTAGAGCTACTGGAAGAAGCTGGGGTTCAAGAGAGCTTTATCTCATTCATGTTAACTCACTACCCTCATTCACTGCAAATGAAATGTGATAAGTTTAAGACAAGTGTTAGCGAGGCAATTAAAATGGGATTTGACCCCTCGAGGATGATGTTTATTCATGCAATTCATGTGTTGTGTGAAAGGAGTGAGCAGGCGTGGGAGAATAAAATCAAGGTCTATAGGAGTTTTGGTTTGTCACATACTGAGATTCTATTGGCCTTTAGATCACATCCCTTCTGTATGAAGTTATCTGAGCAAAAAATTAAGAGGGTAATGGAGTTCTACGTAAACGAAATGAGCTGGTCTCCTTCCAATGTTGCCCAATCCCCAATAGCCCTCTTTTACAATATGGAGAGAAGGATCATCCCACGATGTCGTGTGGTTAAGATATTGATGGAGAAGGGTTTGGTGAAGAAATATTCTATCTCAAACTTTTTGTCTTTGACTGATCGGCAATTCCTGAAAAGGTTTGTGCATAACTATAAGAATGATTTGCCTGAAATTATGGATGTATATCATGCTGGACAGGTCTTGTAGAACCACGCTTATTGAGACATATTTGAAATAAAGGTAATGCAACTCCTGGTCACTCCAGTTCGTTTATACAAAATGTTATTTCGTGTGGCAGTTTGTGCATCAACTCATTCTGTGCCCTGAGTTGTTTCAAAGAAGTGGAACAGTTGTTATGATTAGCTTTTGTTCTTGTGGATACGTTTGCTGCCGTAACTAGTTGCCTTGACCCAGTGACTGGACACCCTTTATGAGGAGGCTCCCTTTCTCTTGAGGTTACAGGGGCTTGAGAGGTGGTAGTTTGCCATGTGGCAGAAACTTGTTCCTATGAAATTCATAAAGATATCTTGGTTAACTTTTCATTATGGTAGGAATTCATCTGGAATCTTCCCTTTCATTGACTAAACTATATTGTATGAAATGCTCAACAGCAGTAAATTGTTCCATGTTGATTCATGGTGTAGCTTTTGTCCAAGATCTATTGCTCTTTGAACCACCTGGATATTTTCCTTTTTTCATTGATAGTATTTAACTTTGTTTTGACCCTTGAGTGTATATTCAGCAACCATACCAGCTTATCACCAAGTACATGTAGCCAATTTATATTTTTCCTCCAGGGATAATTTTTTAACAGAAATCCTTTTGTTGTATGCAACTTTAGAGTTTGAATGTTGTAGATGCTTAATAGACTATCGATGTTCTACTATGATATGTTTTTAGACATGTCACTATTGTCTACAAAGTCTTGTCACTATTATGGTGTCTGCGCTAAAGTTTTGCAATTATTGAGAGCAAAAAGGAAATTTTATGAAAGCAATGGAACACTAGCTGGATTGTATGCAATTTGCTTGTAGAGAGAACTCTTGTATGTGTATGTTGTTTGTTGAGCATTCGATTCACTTTAGCTGCTGTTTGAAGCTATATATAGGCTGGAATGCAGGATTGGATGAAGAACTATTCTATCTCAAACTTTTTGGGAATGACTCGTAAGAAATTCCTGAAAAGGTTTGTGCATAAGAATGATTTTCCTGAAATTATGGATGTATACCGTTCCGGATATGTCTTGTAAAATCATTCTTCAGACATATTTGAAATAAAAGCAACTTATTCACGATCCCTCCAGTTTGTTTGTGTAAGAGTTATTTAGTGTGGCAATTTGTGCATTTACTTATTCTGTGGCCTGAGTTGTTTCCAAGAAGTGGAACAATTGTGATAATTAGATTTTGGGGTTGTGGAGACGTTTGTTGTTGGTAACAAGTTGCCCTGACCCAGCCATTGGACACCAGCCTTTGTAAGGAGGCACCCCTTCTGTTGAAGTGAGCTTTAGAGGTGGTTGTTTGGCATGTGGTGGATCTCATCATTCGTATTTATGATTCCTTTGTTAAAATTGTCTACTTGTTCATACGAAATTCACGAAGCTTTATCTTGGTTAACTTTTCATTGTAGTGCTACTTCACATGGAATCTTCTCTTTCATTGACTGAACTATCCCACATGAAATGGTCAACTGCAGTATCTTGTTCCATGCTGGTGTGTTGTGTAAAATTTACCCACTTCACATTATATTACTTTTTGAACCACCTCTTTTTTGGTCATTTTCCTCGTGGCAAGTATTTAACTTTGTTTAACACTGGATGAAATGGATTTGGTCCTCCAAGGATAACTTTTAACTGAAATCCTTTTATTGTGTGCAACTTTAGAGTTTGATTGCTGCAGATGCTTAATATCTTCTATTAGTGTTCTACTATGAGGTGCTCTTAGGCATGTCGCTATCATCTACAAAATCTTGACTGCAGTTGTGGTTTCTACGCTCAAGTTATGCAAGTATTGAGAGCGAAAAGCAAAGTGTATGAAAGCAATGAAATACTAGCGGGATTGTATTCAATTTTGCTTGTAGAGAGAACTCTTGTATGTGTGTGTTGTTATGTTGAGCATTCAATACCCTTTAGCTGTTGCTAGAAGCTATATATGTGCTGGATTGCAGGAGTGGAGAGACAGTTTATAAGACCACCAGCGAAGGGACAGGTAGCTGTAGCAGTTGTAGGAGGAGATAGTGGGCTTAGTGCACAATCACACGTTCTTTGCTCGTAGAGATCATTCCATCAATTCTCGGTCCTTCCAATTCTCTCGAAGGCTGAGCTGTAGGTTCAGCTGCTTCCCTCAATTAGAGGTATGGCTGATCACCTTGCCTCTTTGATTCAATATCTTGCTGTTAGTGTAATATCTTAGCCAATGAGTCCCTGAATATGAATTCTGAAATGGGATGATGCAATTTCATTATTGGGTATTGCTGACTCTTCTGATATCATAATTCACCTTGCCAGAAACATCAAGCTCCTTGAGGTTGTAAAAGCACCACTCTGAGGCAACTGAATCTTGTTTTGGTACTTTCTCCTCTGCTGTTGTATGTTAAAAGAGAAATTGCATCTTGAAGATTGATCGAGTATTATTTTTGCCCCGACTACTTACGAAAGAAATTATATGGTTGATGTATGGTTTGTTTGACAAATGTCCGGCTAGCAAAGAAAACATAAAAAAGAGTATGTTGCTAATTCTAAACTAATTAAAATGAAGACAAGTATGGCAATTAGTCTTGAATTCAATCGCATTCATAATAATATATTCACACGTTTGTCAAAATCATGGTTGTTGAGAGAGAGAGAGAGAGAGAGAGAGAGAGAGTTTTGGCATAACCATATACTGAGCATTCAGAGCTACAATGTCTGATTTCAGTCATTATTTTTTGGCTTCGTCATGATTTTGAGGGACTTCCTATGTCATTTCTACAATGATGATTCAATAGTTATATGTTGGATAAAAATCACTAGATTTGTCGTGTATATTGTGAGAAAAATGTTGGGGAGCTGCCTCCTCTCGTTTTCGATGGATAGATTGACGAAGAGATGTTGATATAAAGTCGTCATAATTTTTATAAATAATAAATTATATAATTTATTAAATTGAGGTTCAAAGATATTATAACATTCTAATATTGAATGTTAGAGCATCTCAAAAAAAATCTTTTTAGTAGTCTCTCTCTCTCTCTGTGTAAATCTTTTAATAATTTCTTACCAAGTTTCACAATTTTCAATGAAAAACAAAACAAGATAAACATAAAAAATTGTTGTTTGACATGTTTATATTTTTTAAAATTCTTTAAAATACTCTTTAAATTGAAAATTATGTTTTTTAAAAAGGTAATTACAAAAAAAATATCCTTATCGTTTGTACTTATTGTGGAAATAGTCCATATTATTTTAAACTTGGCATTTACACTTCCATTCGAACATTTCTTACGAAGTTGGTCATTTTTATCATGTTCCATTAAATCCTTTCGTGAAATATAGGTAATTAACACAAAAAGTCCATATCCTTTGCTTTCATTGCACAAATTATCTCTATCATTTCAATTTTGACGTTGTCACTCAAGATTGATCTTTCTTTGTGCAAAAGATTCTTACATTTCATTTTTTCCATTGAAGGACTGTAAAATAATTAATTTACCCTCATCTTTAAATAATTAAATAGAAAAAAAAATATAAAAAATTGTATATAAATTTTCAATTTTCGTAAAAAGTACAAACGAGATTTAAGTAAAATAAATTAAAATATTCCAATGAAAGAAAAGTATTTTATCGTAATAGATAAATTCTTATATATGAGGCAAAATAAACTTGGATGAGGAAGAAGAACCATTATATTATATTTTATTTGTTTCCCTAAATTTAATTTTTTTTCTTACTTTCAAATTGTTTTGGTGATGGTGGGCGGGCGTAGGAGTACGTGGGGTGGATTAATTGAAAAAATAAAATATTTTAAATTATTTTACTTGAGATTCGTTGTTATTTTTTTTTAAAAAAGTTGAAACTCTATATGCAATTTTTTTATATTATTTCTTTCTTTTCTATTTGTTTATTTAAAAAGTAGGGTAAACTAATTATTTTACAATGCTTTAATGGTGAAAATAAACGGTAAAAACCCTTTGTGCAAAAAAAAAAAAAATTGATTCAAGTGCTAAAATGTCAAAATTAAAACGGTAGGGATGATCTGCACAATGAAGTCAAATGATATGAACGTTTTGCGCTAATTACCTATATTTCACGTAAGAATTTAATGGAATATGATAAAAATGACCAACTTCGCAATAAATGTTTGAAACAAGGGTATAAATATCAAGTTTAAAACAAGATAAACTATTTTCGTAATAAGTACTAGCGATAATCTTTTGCCAATTACCCCTTTGTAAAATAATCTATAGGAATAAGTCCCTTGTACATCGGATTTTGCCAAGGTTAAGACTTAAGATGGCAGCCTATGATTAAATGTGTTAATATTTTTTTTTCTACTGTCAATAAAATTTGACTAAGAGTGTGTTTGATTTATATATCACATAAAAAAAAATGTTCTCCTTATTTTAAGGAAAACAAAAGAGTAATTACAATATAACGTTTCCACATTTCATTGCTATTGTGAAAAATGTCTTCACCTTTCATTTTTTGGCATTTTCACGATTATTTCCATCTTTTATTTCCTAAAAGGTCATTTTTATCCATTTTCTCAATTAAAAATTGTGAAATGATGAAAATATCATTCCCTTTAAATAAAATAAAAGGAAAAAGAAAAAAACTAATTGCAAACATAGTCCCAACTTTTTTGAAAAGCGCAAATTAGTTTCAAATAAATTATCAAAAGAGTAATTAGTACATAATGTCACTAACTTTCGCTATTATTGCAAAAAACATCCATACCTTTAATTTGTTTGGCATTTTCTTCCTTAATTATAATTTGATAGCTTAAACAATCATTGCTATCAATTTTCATCTAATTTCTCAATAAAAAACAGTGTGATGACGAATATACCCTTATATTTAAATAAAAAAGCTAAAGAATTAATTGCAAGCATTGTCCCAATTTTTTAAAAAATTGTAAACGAGTCTCCAATAAATTATTAAAAAAAATTAATTTTTTTAATGAAGAGTACAAACGAGTCCCAAATAAATTATTAAAGAATTAAAAATTAAAAAAATATTTTTTATTTAAATATGAGAATATATTCATTATTTCACAATTCTTTATTAAGAAAATGGATAGAAATAATGGTTTGCGTTATCAAAATATAATTAAGGTAATGAGCACAAAACGTCCCCACCTTTCATTGTTACTGTGGAAAACATCAATACCTTTTATTTTTTGACATTTTCACCATTATTTTCACATTTCATTGCGCAAAAGGTCATTTTTATCAATTAAAAATTGTGAAATGACGAAAATATCATTCATTTTAAATAAAACAAAAGGAAAAAGAAAAAAATAATTGCAAACATAGTCCCCACTTTTTTGAAAAGCTCAAATGAGTTTCAAATAAATTATTAAAAAGGTAATTAGCACATAATATCCATACATTTCACTATTATTGCGAAAAACATTCATACCTTTTATTTTTTTGGCATTTTCTCATTTAATTATAATTTAATAGCGCAAACCATCATTTCTATTCATTTTCATCCAATTTCTCAATTAAAAAAAAGTGAATGACGAATATACCCTCATATTTAAATAAAAAAGTTAAAGAATTAATTGCAACATTGTCCCAATTTTTTAAAAAAATGCAACCAAGTCCCCAATAAATTATTAAAAAAAATTAATTTTTTTTAAATGAAAAGTGCAGACTTGTCTCAATTAAATTTATTTAAAAATTTTAAAAATAAAAAGTACAAACGAGTCCTAAATAAATTAATAAATAATTAGAAATTTAAAAAAAATATTTTTTATTTAAATATGAGGGTATATTCAATATTTCACAATTCTTTATTGAAATGAAATTGGATAGAAATGATGGTTTGCGCTATCAAATTATAATTAAGGGATAAAATGCAAAAAAAAAATAGGTAGGGATGTTTTTCACAATAATAGTGAAAGGTGGGGACATTATGTGCCAATTACCCTTTTAATAATTTATTTGGGACTCATTTGCGCTTTTCAAAAAAGTTAGGACTATGTTTGCAATTAAATTTTTTCTTTTTTTTTTTTATTTAAAGGAAATTGTATTTTCGTCATTTCACAATTTTTAATTGCGAAAATTGATGAAAATGACTTTTTACGCAGTAAAATGTGAAAATAAGGGTGAAAATGTCAAAAATGAAAGGTATGGACGTTTTCCACAATAACAATGACAAGTGGGAACGTTATGTGCTAATTATCCAAAACAAAAACATGCTTCCCAAAGAAAATGTTTTCCTTAAAAATAAGGAAAATTAGACATATTTTCAAAGATTGAAAAATATTTTCAATGTAATAAAATAGCAATCAAATATTTAAGTAAAAATTTGGACGAAAAATTGATGTTTTTCATAAAAAATAAATGCAATAAACATCGTAAATCTGGCAAAATCATGTTAAATCCCATGGCAATGTAGCACCATTCTAATTTATGAACGTTGAAATCGATTTGTACTTAAAAAAAAGTATATTTTTCCGAAGAAAATGCAACGAGTTTTATTTCCAAGTAGGGCTGTCCGTGGGTCGATTCGGTTCGATTCTGAAGAGACCCGAACCGACCCAAAACTTTCGGGTATTTAATAAATGGATCCGTCGGGTCCAAATATAATTATGGAACCGTTCGGGTTCGGTTCGGTTTCGTACCATAATTAAAGTTTTTAATATTTTCAACAACACTACATAAATACAACTAATGACATTTCATTTGTAACTTTTACAAATTAACGTAGCCCAATTCAAAAACATATAAATAACTAGTCGTTCAATAAGATTAATTCAATGCATACAAATACCAAAAACTAGATATTAATATTATAGCAAAACTTCATAAAGTATATTAATTTGTTTCAAATTAAAATGGGTTAATGGATTTTAAAAATGATTTGGGCTTTAAAATTAAAATTATGAAATAATCTAATTTATTTAATTAATTTGCTAATTTGTATAGAAAAAAATAAAATAATTTAATTAATTCAATATAAAAAATAAAAAAAATATTTAGTTTCGATTCTTATTCGATTCTTCGGTTCTTGATCTAGACCCGAAACCCGACCCAAATCCATCGGTTCTCGATTCGGGTACCCGTTCGGGTATTTAATTTATGAAGAACCGCTCGATTAAATCCGATTCGATTCGAAACTTTTGGACACCTTCATTTCCAAGTATTGCAAATTTGGACTATAACAAACCGGTATCGTGAGCCGAGCAAGTTTTCGAGTCAAACTGAAAATCCTCCTAGAGACAATATCCCGAACCCCTTCTCCAACTTTGTTGCCCGTCGACCGGCGCCCCCTTGGTCCCGCCTCCTCAATATATGCAGTCGCAGTGCGGAGAACCACAAAGTTACGCGTCTCCTTCATTGGAAAATCTGTGAATTCTTGAGAACTGTTTACATAGAGCGCGTTGCAAAGCAGATTTGTACTTAGGAGAACGGGTGAGTTCGTCCACAGTCTAATCTTCATCTTCTGTGATAGCATTTTATTAAGGAACGATGTTTTGTTTACTTAATAAAACAGTATTTTCGTTCCGTAGGAATACATGCTTGTATGAATCCTCAGTGGGTATTTTTCTTCGTACTTTATCTGCTTCTTCTCTGATTAAACCAGAGAAAGTTGAAAATTTTCGGACCCTTTTTGAAAATTATGGATTTAGCGATACCCAGATTTCCAAACTTGCCAAGAGAACACATATTTTCGCATACAGTCTCCAGAACACTATTTTACCTAAACTCAAATTCTTTCTCTCCATTGGAGTCTCGAGCTCTGACCTGCCAAAAATTATTGCGGGTAATCCTTCATTGTTGGCAGGAAGCATTGAAAAACAGTTTATCCCTTGTTATAATTTTCTCAAGACTTTAGTGGATTCTGATGATGATATTGTTAGGACCCTAAAGCGCAGTCCTAGAATTTTATCTTGCAATTTGAAAGTAATGGAGACCAATGTAGAGCTATTGGGAGAAGCTGGGGTACCAGAGAGCTTTATCTCATACATGTTAACTCGCTATCCTCATTCACTGCAAATGAAATGTGATAAGTTTAAGAGGAGTGTTAATGGGGCAATTGAAATGGGATTTGATCCCTCGAGGATGATGTTTATTCGGGCAATTCATGTGTTGTGTGAAATGAGCGAGCAGGCATGGGAGAATAGAATCAAGGTCTATAGGAGTTTTGGTTTGTCACATGCTGAGATTCTATTGGCCTTTAGATCACATCCTTTCTGTATGAAGTTATCTGAGGAAAAAATTACGAGGGGAATGGAGTTCTATGTAAACGAGATGAGCTGGAATCCTGCCAATGTTGCCCAAACCCCAGTAGCCCTCTTTTACAACATGGAGAGAAGGATCATCCCCCGATGTCGTGTGATTAAGATGTTGATGGAGAAGGGTTTGGTGAAGAAATATTCTATCTCAAACTTTTTGGCATTGACTGATCCGCAATTCCTGAAAAGGTTTGTGCATAACTATAAGAATGATTTACCTGAAATTATGGATGTATATCGTGCTGGACAGGTCTTGTAGAACCATGCTTCTTGAGACATACTTGAAATAAAGGCAACGCAATTCATGGTCCCTCCAGTTTGTTTGTACAAAATGTTAGTGAGGCAGTTTGTGCATCAACTTATTCTGTGGCCTGAGTTGTTTCAAAGAAGTGGAACAATTGTTATGATTAGCTTTTGTTGCAGTGGAGACGTTTGTTGTTGTAACCAATTGCCTTGATCCAGCCACTGGACACCCTGTGAGGAGGCTCCCCTTCTCTAGTACAGGGGCTTGAGAGGCGGTAATTTGCCATGTGGCAGAAACTTGTTCCTATGAAATTCATAAAGCTATTTTGGTTAACTTTTCATTATGGTATTACTTCACCCGGAATCTTCCCTTCCATTGATTAATTATCTTGCATGAAATGCTCAACGGCAGTATATTGTTCCATGTTGATAAATTTTGTAGCTTTTGTCCTGGATTTATTGCTCTTCGAACCACCTGGATATTGTCCTCTTTCCATTGAATAGTATTTAAATTTTTTTGACCCTTAATTAAGTGTATTTGCAGCTTCCATACCAGCTTATCACTAAATACATGTAGCCAATGTAGCCAATATATATTTTTCCTCCAGTGATCATTTTTTAATGGAAATCTTTTTATTGTATGCAACTTTAGAGTTCAAATGTTGTAGATGCTTAATATCTACTATCAATGTTATATGACGTGTTCTTGGACATGTCACTATCGTCTACAAACTCTTGACACTGTTGTGGTGTCTACGCTCGAGTTATGCAAGTATTGAGAGCGAAAAGCAAAGTTTATGAAAGCAATGAAATACTAGCTGGATTATACGCAATTTGTTTGTAGAGAGAACTCTTGTATGTGTATGTTGTTTGTTGAGCATTTGATTCGCTTTAGCTGTTGCTGGAAGCTATATATAGGCTGGATTTCAGGATTGCGAGCCAGTTCATCCACCTGCCAAGGGACAGGTAGCTGTAACAGTTGTTGGAGGAGATAGTGAGCTCAGTGCGCTGTCACACATTCTTCGCTCATGGAGATCATTCCGTCAACCCTTGGTCTGTCCAATTCTCTCAAAGGCGGAGCTAGTAGGTTCAGCTGCTTTCCTCAGCCAGAGGTATGGCTGATAGTGGCATTGCCTTGTTGATTCTAATATCTTGCTGTTAGTGTAATATCTTGGCCGTTGAGTCCTTGAATATGCATTCTGACATTGTATGGGGTGATGCAATTTCATTATTGGTTATTGCTGACTCTTCTGATATCCTATTTCACCTTGCCAAAAACATCAAGCTCCTTGAGTTAGTGGAAGTACCATTCTGTAGGCAACTGAATCTCGGTTCAGTACCTTCTCCTCTGCTGTTGTGCGATAAAAGAGAAATTGCATCTTAAAGCTTGATCAAATATTATTTTTGTTCGGACTACTAACCAAGGAAATGATATAGTTAATGGATGGCAGGTTTGACAATTGTCTGGCTAGCATAAAGGTCAAAAACCTCGAAACATGAAAAAAAGGTTATGTTACTCAATCTAAATTAATGAAAATAAAGACAAGTTTGTTATTTTGCGGATACAAGTATGGCAATTAGTCTTCAACTCAATTGAATTCGTAATAATATGTTCACGCGTTTATCAAAATCACGAGTGTTGGAAATTATTGTACTTCGTAAAAAATTTATTATTGAACTATACAGAAGTATTGATACTGTCTTGTGCTAAATTAGCCTTTGGCTTGGTTACTTGGGAAGGAGTCTTGTACTGCTTGTCCAGCCAAGTATTTTTGGAAACATTTTTTTGTAACGTGTCCCTTGTGGTCTCCTTGTACATTTTGACTTCAGCAGTGACTTGAGCTCAGAATGCTGATTGCTTCTCTGGAAAAAGTAAAGGGTGAATGCCAAAATTGATTGAATTGCTTTTCATTATACCTATGGTGTTGGAGCATCACTGATTTTGTTGCTGATAATAAGGTGTACTTTTAAGTTGCTTCCCTGCAAGTTAAAAGAATTTGTAGAACGCTTTAGTTAGCGGTGTATCAAGCTATAATTGTCATAAGGTGTTGCTCTGTCGCTCTCTTAATTTTAGGAAATTTGCTGCAGCACGTCTCAAATTTTGCTATTGAATATGAACATTTTGTTCTATGGTGTGAAGGAGAAAGTATTGATCTGATATATTTTTTTTGGCTATCGTAGATGGTCTATGGAATATTGCATGTTGATGTTTGGTATTCTTCTCACTTCTGCCTTAATTTCGAACTTGACACTTATTTTGGGATTTTCATACAGATTCAAAGTATGAACGTTGTGTTCCATGGTGTGGAGGAACAAGTATCAACACGTTTGATATTCTTCTCACTTCTGCCTAAATTTCGAACTTGACAGTTTATTTGGGATTTTCATACATGATTGAGAAATACTTGTTTTATTTTCGGATTTGATATTTGTTTGATTTTTAGTATATGTTTGAAATATTATTGTGTTGATGGTTGAGTTTTGATGATGGTGGGTGCAAAACATGATTCGCTTCAGTTTATTAATGAGATATTTTATGGGAAAATTACATATGGTGTTGAGATTAAACGTATGAATGATAAGGACGGAAAATTTATAGAAATGTTTCGTGCTTGGGACAGAAACGAATCTAAAATCGTGACATGGAAAAGTGTCATTTGGCACTGTTGTTTATATGGTCCAATGTTGCAAAGGATTACAAACTGGCGGAAAAATACGAGCATTCAAAAATTTTATTTACTGACTAGTCTTCGATCACTTGTCTCTTATAGAAATATATATGAGAGATGATTTCTGGGCTTAACCATATATTGAGCATTTATAGCTATAATGTCTTGTGTGATATTTTGAAGGTCTCACCGAGTCATTTCTACATTTTGATGTCTATTATTTGAGCTTCAACGTATCTTTTTGTGTTTCTTGTTGGAAAAAATTTATTTGTTTGCTAAAATTTAGTGATTTGTAGTTTGTGAAAAAATGTTGGGAAGCTGCCCCCTCTTGTTTTGGATGGATATATTGATATAATGGAAAGAACTAGCCGTGCAATTCTATCCA